GGACAATGTCGCCCCTTCTGTCCTTTCCCTCATCTCTCCCAACCCCGCTCTCCCAAGTGCGGCTCATCGGCTTGTACTGAGCTCCGCCTGATGCCCGCTCCTAATCTTCAGAGACAATGGAAGTGAGCTGCGAGTCTGTGTGCGCCAGGCCCCAGGGGGCATCCTTGAAGTACATCATTCTAGTTAGTCCACAACACCTGCCGTTGTCCAAATGGGACCGCGAGGGCTGGCGGTGGAATAAACGTTCAAGGTTAAAATAAGCTGGCCTGGAATTTGAATCCAGAACTGTTTGACTTAAAGTTCCTCTCTCAAAAACCACGAAGAAGTAAATTAAGAAGAAAGCAGAGAGGTGTGGTTTGGCAAAGGGAAGATGGAGGTACCTTACACTTTAAGGAAGAGTGAAACAGCCAAGGAAGGAGGGCCTGGAATCCAGGACGTGTTCAGGGACACGGACAGCGGCCCAGGACGTGTTCAGGGACACGGACAGCGGCCCAGGACGTGTTCAGGGACACGGACAGCGGCCCAGGACGTGTTCAGGGACACGGACAGCGGCCCAGGACGTGTTCAGGGACACGGACAGCGGCCCAGGGTACCTCGGACTTTCACTGAGACAGCCACATGGAAAGTCACGTGGGTGACCAGAGGGAGAGGGATTGGGGTGCTCACGAAGGAGCTCAGAGTTCAGCCTGTAAACTCTAATGGTTCTCACTAGAAGCATGGGGTGTGGGAATGGCGGGTCCCAGGACCCTCCAGCTCGTTCCTTTTCCTGAGCCCCAGAGAGAAGGGATTACAGACAGTAGCATCGGAAACCCATAAGCTTTAAAAGGTTGTTGCCACACAAAAGATGCCAAACCTCACCCTTCAAAAAATGCAAACCAAAATAAGATGCTGTTTTTCATCGAATACAGGAGTCAAGTAAAAGCTGCTGGTCAACATAGAGCAGTCCTTTAGAAAACAGTCTAGAAAGTGGGGCTGGAGGCGTGGCTCGGTGGTAGAGTGCTAGCCAAAAAGTGAAAGCATCAGGTACTGAGTTTGAATCCAGATCACGGACCTGAAAAAGAGAAAAAAAGAAAAGACTCTAGAAAAGTTGCAGCAGTGCATAGCTTTTCTTCCCCAGCAACTACAAGTCTAGGAAATGATTCTGTGGCTGTGCTTGATCAAGGATGTAAACAACTTCCGAGGCTGTTTATTGTGAATAATTATAAAAACTGGAGGAAGGGATAAGTGCTTACCAATAGAATCAACACAAAGCAATCACATGTAGCCATTTGCCTTAAGTACAGATTTTTATTATTTTTATTGTTATTATAAAGTGATGTACAAAGGGGTTACAGTTACATAATGAAGCTTGGGTTTCTAGGTGCTGCTATGGAAATCATGGAAAGCAGAGGAAGGGAAAACAAGCAAGCTGTGGAGGATTTGTGCATAGCAGGAACCCCATTTCGATGCTTATGCATAGTGAAGTCTGGAAACGTACACAAAAAGAGTTCTTAGTAGTTATCTCAGGGGTTGGGACGGAATCGTGGATGGAAGAGCTAGTTTGTATGCTATTTATCCTTCCGTATTGTTTTAAAATGTCTTCTTCCTTTCTTCATCCATTTTTTTGCCTCTTTTAAACTATGAGCATATTTTCTTTTTTTTTTTTTTTTTGGTCGGCCGTGGGGCTTGAACTCTGGGCCTGGACGCTGTCCTTCATCTCTTCAGCTCAAGGCCAGCGCTCTACCACTTGAGCTACAGCGCCACTTCCGGTTTTCTGGTGGTTTATTGGAGATAGGAGTCTCACGGTCTCTCCTGCCTGGGCTGGCTTTGAACCGCGATCCTCAGATCTCAGCCTCCTGAGTAGCTAGGATTACAGGCGTGAGCCACCAGCGCCCGGCGAGCATATTTTCTAAAGTAAAAAGTATCAAGATATTTCCAAAGCTCATATAGATTTTCACTTTAGAGAGCTATTTAAAATAATCAATCCTCTCTTCAAATTGACAATATGATCCTTTAAAAAAAATAATATCTAGGGGCTGGGAAGGTGGCTCAGTGGTAGAGCGCTTGCCTTGCATGCTCAAGGCCCTGGGTTGGATTCCTCAGCACCACATAAGAAAAAAGCCGAAGTGGCGCTGTGGCTCAAGTGGTAGAGCACTAGCCTTGAGCTGAAGAGCTGAGGGACAGTGCCCAGGCCCAGAGTTCAGGCCCCACAACCGGACCCCCCAAAAAAAAAATAATATCTATTCCCTAATGACAGCAGGCCCTTCCGTTCTTGCTTAGGGCTTTATGGTTTAACATTTTTTCATTCTTTGGAGTAATTCGGTGTCTACTACGTTCGAGGCAGTAGAGCTGAAGGACCAGGATTTCTCATGGTCAGTACAGGAAGGTGATTTCAGTCACCCTCGGCCCTACCCAGAGAGACCAGACTTGGGTAGAGTAGATGCTTAAAGTGGGCTAGACCCTTTCGGGCTCCTGGGTATGGTCTACTTGCACGCCAGAATCCTTGTTCTGGGCTTTACATTTTTAGTAAGTCAGCAAGGTGCTGGTGGTTCATGTATGTAATCCTAGCTACTCAGGAGACTGAGATCTGAGGATCACAGTTCAAAACCAGCCCAGGCAGGAAAGTAGTCCGTGAGACTCTTCAATGAACTTGCCCCCAAAAAGGTGGAAGTGGAGCTGTGGCTCAAGTGGTAGAGCACTTAGCCTTGAGCCAAAAAGGTCAGGGACAGCAGGGACAGGCCCTGAGTTCATGCCCAAGGTCTGGCACACACACAGACGTTTATATATATGCAAAAAAGCTAAGGGGCAGTGCCTAGGCCAGTTCTAGTACTGGTACTGAAAGAAAGAGGGGAAGGGAAGCGAGGGGAAGGGAGAGAAGAGGGGAGGGGAGGAGAGGGCAGGGACAAAGCAACTGCATGGCTCCATGCTGTGTCCAGGACTAGGGTATGGAGACTGGAAGGGGCCTAGAGAAAGGGTCTGTGGTTGCTGCCCCGGGTCTTGGGCCTGGAGGAGGACAGGGCTAGGAGCAGATGAGGGGCAGCTGGCCCTGGGAAAGGACATGGATGGCTCCATGCTCAGTCCTCAGATAGTGGCGGCTCTCAGCTCCCTGTTCTTTTTCCCCTGGGTCCCACATTCCGTTTCCCTCCTAGCTCCGCATGTACCCTTCCTGTCTCCGCATGTACCCTTCCTGTCTCCGCAGCCTTCCTCCTGCCCGTGTTGGAGGCTCCAGGACCCAGTCAAGCCCCATCTGACCGCCCTCTCTCTCTCTCCCCCTCCCTCCTCAGAGATTCAGCCCTCCCTTCTCAGAGATTCAGTCTATCTCATCTCAAGTTGTAAATTTCATCTTCCCACTGACCACACCACAGGTCAAGCTCCAGCCTGGATGTCTCACCTGGTCCAGTGGCCCTGTCCATCTGCCTCACACCTTGAACAGCCTTGAGCTTAGCACGTCCCACACAGGAGCATCCTGCCCTCCCCAGCCTACTGCCTTCCCCCCAACCAGGGCTCAGCAGCTCTCAGCCCTCCCTCTAGGGCAGGGGGAGGGGAGGTCACAGGCAGCCCTGCACCAAGCTATTCTTGACTCTTAACCTATTCATTCTGCCTTCAGCATCTGACCACAATTCAAACTCTGTTCCCCGCTCTCTCTGCCATTCTTGGCAGCACTGCTGGCTACCAGTGTCTTTCACTTGTATGATTGCAACCGCCTCCCAAACAAAAGAAGGCCCCTCAAAAGTTACCAAGTGTCCCCTCCATTACTCTAGCTCTATACAGCTGTCCACTGGACACACTCTCGTGTGCCATGCACCCCCTCATGGCTGTGCCTCCAAGTACCCCAGGGGCGCAGGCCCTCCCCTACTTCCAGTCTTTGAAATCTGGACTCCACCATGAGCAGAGTCCTGCAAGAGCCTCTCTCTCTCCTCTCTGGGTCCCCCCAGCCCCAAGGCTTAAACTCGGGGCCCTGTAGTTCTGCTTAGCTTTCTCGCTCAAGGTTCGGGCCTGAGCCACGCCTCCACCTCTGGCTTTTTGCTGGCTAGTTTGAGGCAAGAGTGTCACGTTTGGTCTGTCCAGGCTGGCTTCCGACGGCTGTGCTCAGATCGCAACCCCCTGAGCAGCTGCGATTACAGGCTGAGCCGCAGCGCTGGGCGGCCTGCGGCTTGACAGGCCTCGGGACGCGCGTGCCCCGCGCAGGGCGGCCCAGGACCCGCGGTCCTGTCCTGCGCTCGCATCCGGACCCGGCCCGGCCGCGGCTGGCCGACCCTGGGAGGGGTGGAAACGGAGCTGGTGCTAAGCGCAGGGCCGCCGGCGGGGCGGCGGGGAGGGGGGTGTCGAAGCCTCGACGGCGGCCTCAGAGGACAGGGGGGAGCGCAGAGGAGCTGGGGACATGGTGGGGGGCCCCGGGGGAGGACCCCGGCGGGGACCCCGGGGAGGGGCGGCGCCGGGGCAGCCGGCGCGGCCTCGCCTCCCCTCGGATCCCTTCCCGGCTGCCGCTGGGATCCGAGGCTCGGGCCCCCGGGGCTGTGCGCGGTCGACGTGAGCCGGGCCGCTGCTGGAGGCGAAGGGAAACCGGCCAAAGCCGGGGAGCTCAAGACGTGACCGGACGCAAGAACGCGGGACCCCGGGGATGGCGGGGCCGTCGGGCCGAGGTGGAGAAGAGGCAGGCAGGTGCGCGCCGGGGCTGTCGGGCCTCAGCGCCAGCTGTCGGGACTGGGCGAGCGGGCCGGGCCGGGACCGAGCGGACGGGCCGGGCCGGGCCGGGCCGGGGCGGCTGGGCCGGGCCCACCACCCCGAGCGCCGCCACGCGGAGCGCGCCGCCGGCCGACTCCCCCTTCTCCCGCCCTCGCGCTCTGGCCCTCGGGACCCCGCCCTGGCGTTCCGGGAGCCGACCAATCAGGAGGCGCGTCCGGCCTCCCGGCCCCCGAGGCCCCGCCCCGGGTCGGCGCCCCGCCAGCCAATGGGAGGCCGAGCCCGGCGCCCAGTGCGTGCAGCCCGCGCGGAGCCGGCTCAGAGCGAGAAAAGCGAACCCAACCCGTCGGGGCCGCTGCTCCGGACCCGCCAGCCGCCGCCGCGCGCCGCCCGCCGCCCGCCGCCGCCTCCTCCCCCCGGATCGGGTGTACTGTCCCAACCCGAAAGTCCAGTTCTGCGGCCCGGCAGCGGCGAGCGAGCGAGCGAGCGAGCGCGATGACACAGGAGTACGACAAGTGAGTGCGGCGCGGGCGCCGGGTCCGGCCGCCGCGGCCCCGCCGGCCCTCGGCCTCCCGCCGCCGGCACCTGCCTGCCGCCCGCCCGCCAGCGAGCGGGGCGTCCGGGCCGCGGGGCTGCGGGGCGCGGGGGGCGGGCGCCGGCCGGCGCTGGGGGCGGCGGGGCCGCCCGCGCCCCTTGTGGGACGGGGACGGGTGGGGGGCTCGGCGGCCGAGGGGTCCCCCTCCGGGAGGCCGGGGGCCCGCGGGCCGCGCGGAGACGCGCTCCCAGGCGGACGTCCGTAGCCTCGGCGCTGTCACCCGCCGACGCCCGCCGACTTGCCGGGACTCCCGGAGGAATCCGGGCGAAGGGCGACGCGCCCCGGCCGGGGAGAGCGCGCGCGGCCGTGGGTGTTCCCTGGCCCGGGTCCGTCGATGGTAATTACTGATCGCCGCGTTCGACTCGGGACGGGTGGGGGTGGGGGGACGGAACTGCAGGGCGCCGGGACGGGGAGGCCGGACGGGGAGGCCGGGACTGCGAGGCCCCGGGACGGGGAGGCCGGGACTGCGAGGCCCCGGGACGGGGAGGCCGGGACTGCGAGGCCCCGGGACGGGGAGGCCGGGACTGCGAGGCCCCCAGGACGGGGAGGCCGGGCCTGGGGGGTTTGTGGGGGTTTTCTTAATTGTTTTTTTTTTTAACGTGCCTAGGAAGGGGTCGGGTGGTCGTGGGAGACACTGGGGAGCCAGAGTGGAGGACGAGTTCCGTATTTTGCTTGCGACTCTTCTGTAAATCTAAACCTCTTCCCAAAGAAAGTCATTAAAGTCATAATAATAGTAAAAGGAAATGGCACCCAGCCGGTCATGTTTGGATCCGAGGCAGAGCGTTGGGCGGCTCTTCGTCGAGGATCGGTGGAAGGGTGCCCGCGTTGGGGTTGAAGGAAGGTAGCCATGCAAAGTTAGTTACACGATTGCTTGCAGGCTCCGTGTTTGGAGGTCTGGGCCACCGCTGGCCTAGCACGTTTGGAAGGCCCCGGGTTCCAGCAGCTCCGCAGACGGGAGCGGGGAGCGGGGGACCAGTTAGGGTTCTAAGCAGAAGGGATGAGAGCCGTCAGCCCTGAGAGACAGCTGCCGTGCTGTTGGCTTCGGGACTTGAAGTTAAGATAAGGCAGAAGTTCCAAAGCTATAACGTGTTGGCCTTAGGCACACTTTGGAAAAGTGAAACACCCCCGGGGTGATCACAGACGTAAAGCCATCTGAAAACGTTTATTTTCTGATGCTTCTGCACATTGGAGGTGGGGGATGGAAGACGGGAAAGCGGGAAGAAACTGGCAGTGTGGGCACCAAAGCTGTGGTAGTGCTCTGAAGTAGTTATTAGGCATTAATAATAGCTGGGCAGTGCACCAGGAAATCTCTGCAGGCCTGGTTCCAGGTACCGCACCGCCTCTGTAGCTCTGAGCTCTGAAAGGGATGGCTTGGAGAAGGCCGCTTGGTATATTTATTTCGTTAGAAGTTGAATCTTACACATATAACGTCATTTCTAAACAAGCCATCTACTTGGAACAATCCTTCAGCGTTTTGTGTTAAAATCGCAAACCATCCCCACATGGCCTTTGTCAAGGGCCAGCTCTGGGATCTGTTCGCAGGCATCTGAGTCAAGACCTAGGCTCTGAAGTAGAGCGCTCCACCTTCCTGCCCAGGGTAATCGAAGTTGCTGGGCTTCTTTTTTTTTTCCTCTCCTTTTCAAAGATGTTCTCCTTTTTTCTAAATCTATATCTGGTTTTCAAGCGCCTGGGTGACTGCCAAACACTAACCTTTGCTGATTACTTAAAAAGATAATCCGTCTTTCTACATTCACTTTTGGAAAAGGTAGGTCACCTTTGCGCCATTTACATATTTCATTTGGGTGTTGCAATGAGAATAGATCCCTAATTTTGCTTGCTACAATAGTGATCATTTAGAGCAGTTCAAAACGTGAACTGTGTTTTTCCTTCTCCCCCCACCAAACCCCCAATAACCTGCTTCATTTTGCTAGAGTCAATGTTTTATTTTTCTCTTTATTGACTTATTAAATAGTAATGACTGTACAGTTGTTGAGGTGGTTTACATTTCAGAATTTTGGAACTGGTAATGTTTGCTTTAATCCTTTAAATCTTCTAGAAAGTTTCATTAAGTTCACCATTGATTTTTCTGGATTTTCCCCAGCAAACCGCAGAGCCAGAGTGAGGTAGTTCTTGCCCAGTGTGAAAAACTAGTAAAGATTTTATTGGGGGAGGGCTCAGGAGGGGATGGCTGTGTCCTGGGGTTTGAACCCAGAGCCCCAAGCAAGGTGGCCCAACACTACTGAGTTTGGTCCCTGAAAGTAAAGATTTTTTAAAGTAGATCTCTTTGGTGATAGCCTTGAGCAAAACAAGTTCAGGGACAGGGTCCAGGCCCTGAGTTCAAGCCCCAAGATTGGCAAAATAAAAACATAAAATAAAACGAGATCTCTTTACCTATTTTTTTCTTTTTTTAAATCTGCTTTCATTTGGTGGTTTTATTTATGGTAGATTCTTAAGAGTTTTATCAGTAAGCTAAACAGTTAACTCCCATGCTAGAAAATTAAGCCTCTTTATTGATTTACAGCCCCCTTTGGCTACATTCCAGGCTCACTGTGCTGGTAAGGTAGAATACCCTCACTTTCTAGTCTACCCCCAGGGTAACTGAAGGAAACCTTTCTCTTTCTGCTCCTCCCCCTGTTTTGGGGAAGGAGTTGTTTGAAGGTGAGGCATCAGTGGGAGAAAGAGGGAAATATGACGAGCAGCGAGTGTGCTGAGCCCTGTGCATATTGGGGAAAAGAGCCTGATTATGAGTTTGGAGAGAAGAAACCTACTCTCTGCCCCTGTCTTTATGCAGAATATTTGAACAGTTTGGCATTTTCTTGGGGTGTTTTTGAAGTTTTGCTAAGTAGCATACCCTGGATGTAGGTCCCATATGTAACTTAGCTGTAGGTTACCCAACTGCATCTTGGGGTGACCCATTGATCTGTGTGTGTGTGTGTGTGTGTGTGTGTGTGTGTGTATGCACATGTGTGTGTATGCGCATGCGCGTGCGTGCATGTGTATGCACACATGCATGGCACCTACCTGCCTGCCTGGAGCTTGAATTCAGGGCTTGGGTGCTGTCCCTTAGCTTTTTTTTTTTTGTTGGTCGTGGGGCTTGAACTCTGGGCCTGGGCGCTGTCCCTCAGCTCTTCAGCTCAAGGTGAGCACTCTACCGCTTGAGCCACAGCACCACTTCTGGTTTTCTAGTGGTTTATTGGAGATAGGAGTCTCATAGTCTTTCCTGCCTGGGCTGGCTTTGAACCGCGATGCTCAGATCTCAGCCTCCAGAGTAGCTAGGATTACAGGCGTGAGCCACTGGCGCCCAGCCGTCCCTTAGCTTTTTTGCTCAGAGCTAACACTTTACCACTTGAGCCACAGCTCTATTGCAGTTTTTTGATGATTAATTGAAGACAAGAGTCTCATGGACTTTCTGCCAGGGCTGGCTTTGAACTGTGATCCTCAGATCTCAGCCTCCTGAGTAGCTAGGTTTACAAGGATGAGCCATCAGCACCCTGGCTTGGACTGTATTTTTATTCAGACCTACTCTTCATTGGACATAATGGATCACTGATGGAACAATAGATTATTTTTATTGGAATACCAAAGAATTGCTTGTTTGGTTCTTTGGAAATCAGCTCACGATGCCTTTGCAGTTGCAAGTGTGACTTCTTCTTTCTCTCTCTCTCTGAAGCAAACGGCCAGTGTTAGTTCTTCAGAATGAAGCACTTTATCCTCAGAGGCGCTCCTATACTAGCGAGGATGAAGCTTGGAAGTCTTTCCTGGAGAACCCTCTCACTGCGGCCACCAAAGCGATGATGAGCATCAACGGGGACGAGGACAGCGCGGCTGCGCTCGGCCTGCTCTACGACTACTACAAGGTATACTCCCCCCCCCCCCCAGCCCGCTCTCATGCCCTTGGCTCAGCGCATATAAAACAGTCATTTGCTCTAGATTGTAATGCTAGGTGCTTCTGTAGTGACTGTAAATAGTTTAATGAGTACTTTGACTTACTGTGCTTCAAAGCTGAAAATCTTCCATCATGGAATCAAAGGGTTGTTTGGGAACATATGAAGTAGGAGCTGTCTGGCTATATTGGAAAGGACAAGGCACCATAAAAGAAGATGGTAGATGTGTCTTACCAGTGCCAGTGTCTGCCCAAAGGTACTTCCTACTCCGTGAGGGCCGGCAGAGCCGGTGCACGCATGGCGCCCCCTTTATTCCTGTGAGTCAGCTTGTTGCATCTCTTTTTCTGTCTTTGTCTTGTTCTTTGTCTTTTTCTTCCTTGTTCCAGTCCTGGGGCTTGATCTCAGGTCCTAGGATCTGTCTCTGAGCTTTGCTCAAGGCCAACATTCTACCACTTGAGCCAAGCTCTACTTCCAGCTTTTGAGTGGTTAATTGGAGATAAGAGTCTCACGGGCTTTCCTGTCCAGGCTGGCTTTGAACTGTGATCTTCAGATCTCAGCCTCCTGAGTAGCCAGGATTCTGGGTGTGAGCCCGGTAGCTGATTACATTTTCTGTGAATGTTATTGCAGAGTCTTAGATTTTATTTGATTGTAGGAATCATGGGGGAAAATATCCAAAATAGCACATTTTTGTCTAGGGCTTTCTGGTATAAGATCTAGGCACTTAAACTAGGCTTAATTAAATATAATCTATAATCTGCATGGATCTGTGCGTGGCTTTCATTCTCTGGAGGGGCACTGGTCTTGGTCAGCATCCTCTTTGCAGTCCTGAGAACACAGTCATCTTCTCTTCATGACCTGTGCTACGCTGGACGCTCAGGTCTTGCAAAAGTACCTCTCAGGGTTCAGCTCTGGCCTGGCTCATGCTGGTAGGCCTGGGCTTGTCCCTGAGTTGTTATGCTCAAGGCCACTGCTCAACCACTTGAGCCACAGCCCTGCTTTGCCTTTTTTTGGCGGGGGGGGGGGGGGGGGGTGTTAATGGGAGATTAGAGTCTCAGATTCTCTTGCCTAGGCTGGCTTCTAACCTGTACCTTTAGATCTCAGCCTCATGAGTAATTAGGATTTCAGGCGTGAACCACCCACACCCAGCTCTGGAGGCTGGCCTCTTTCTCCATCCTGCTCTCTGCTCTGGGGCGTGCCTGCTTCTGCTTTCCCTCCCTGTCCTTTCTTCTGACCAACAGCAGATATTTGGGGAAGGCTATTCAGTTTAGAACACAATTGAACAGAGTGGAAGAGAAGCCCAGCTGGGCCACATGGCCTTTGTCTCACTGTTGCTGCCCGTGACGTAGATCTGATCACCATGCCATCACCTCTGCCTTCAGAGAGACGGGAACTTCTTAATGACAGTTTGTGTGTGTGTGTGTACATTTATTACCGTTTATGTACATGTATTACCATTACAGAAAATTTTAAAAATGGAATGAATAATGACTATTTTTACCTACATTTGCCAGTTGTTTGCCTTTTATTACATTCTGACCCTGTATTTCCTGAATATCTGAAAAATAGAAACTGAGCCTGGTGCCACATGCTTATAATCTCAGCGCTAGGGGAAGCCAAAGTCAAGAAGATAGTGAGTGTTTGAGACCAGTCTAGGCCATATAGTGAGACCCAGTCTTGAAAGAAGGAAGGAAAGGAGGGGAGGAAGGGAGAAAGGGAAGGTAGAAGAGAGGTAGGGGGAGAAAGAAGGAAGGAGGGGGAGAAAGAAAGAGAGAAGAAAGAAGAAAGAAAGGAAAATGGCCAGGTGCTGGTGGCTCACACCTATAATCCTAGCTACTCAGGAGGCTGAGATTTGAGGATCATGGTTCACAGCCAGCCCAGGAAGGAAAGTCTATGAGATTCCTATCTCCAATAACCACCAGAAAGCCAGAATTGATCCTATGGCTCAAAGTAGTAAAGTGCTAATCTTGAGCAAAAAAGAACTCAGGGATAAGTCCCAGGTCCTGAGTTCAAGCCCCTTGACCACATTAAAAAAAAAAAAAAAAAAAAGGAAATGAGAGAGGAGGAAGAAAAAATAACTAAATGGGCAAAACAAAAAAACAAAAAACAAAAACAACCCTGAACAAAATTCAATTTGAGCTATTTCCTGGCATGAGGCCATGTGTCCACTTTGTGGTGTTTGAGGGGTTTCAGTAGCCTTTTTTTTCTTCTAATATGAACAGAAAATTTATGTAAACCTAATGATGGGCTAGAAAACCCTTGCCTGGAAAGTGTAGCCATGAAGAGTTCCTTTGAAATGGAAATGATTGTCTATCTGTTCTTCTGGCTTGTTTCATTGATCTCAAATCAGTGTAAAAACTCAGGATTAAGAGGTGATAGATTTTTTTTTTTGTCGGTTGTGGGGCCTGAACTCTGAGCCTGGGCACTGTCCCTCAGCTCTTCAGTTGTAGACTAGCGCTCTACCACTTGAGACTCAACCCCACTTCCGGCTTTTTCTGCTTATGTGGTGCTGAGGAATCGAACCGAAGGCCTCATGCATGCAAGGCAAGCGCTCTACCACCACTGAGCCACCTTCCCAGCCCCTATGACAGATTTTGACAGACACTTTTGAGAATGAGAGAAGATCAACAAGTTTGTTGCCAGAAACATTAGCTACTCGTGTGTGTGTGTGTGTGTGTGTGTGTGTGTGTGTGTGTGTGTGTGTGTGTGTGTGTAGGTGTGTGTGTGTGTATGCATGTGCATGTATGTGTGTGTTCTAAATGAAGTGTCTTGAAAGTATGAAAGTACTTTATATCTCAGGAGATAGAGCTTCTCCTCATGTCTGTCCATTAACAGTAAGAGTTTTGTAGTGGGACTTGCCAGGATTCTTGTGATAAAGTGTTCTTTTTGGATGAATTACTTGCTTTCATTCTTTAGTTGTCAGAATCAGTTACTACTACTTGATAACCAATAAAGCTTTAAAAGCACCTTGTTAGTACACAAGACAGAAGTTTGTTTTGTCTGTAATGGTGACCACTGTCACACATCTCAGGACTGTCTGATGCGTTTTGTCTGGATCTGGCTGGATTGGGGTCACAGTGAACCCACTAACATCTGCCTGTTCTTTACCTCCCTGACAAGGGGTGGGGAGTCATCAGGTTGTAGATTTGCCCTGTGGGTAATGGACATATGACTGCAAAGCATGTAAGGACTCTTCTCACGCCAAGTGTCTGGGGAGTTTCGGGGAGGAGGGGGTGCCCTGTGCCTCTTCCTTGTCATTTCGCATAGGTCTGAGGGGAGGGGCAGAAAGGAAGTTGGATTGCTTGGTGTGGCTTCATAGCTGCTTCTCTCCCGAGAGTTTTCTTTTAACAGATGAGATCCAAGGTGCTCACACCTGAAATCCTAGCTTCTCAGGAGGCTGAGTGAGGATGTGGTTCAGAACCAGCTCCTGGCAGGAGTCTGTGAGATGTTTACTTCCAATTAGCTACCAAAAAGCCCAAAGTGAGCTGCTGCGGCTCACTTTTTTATCCAGGCCCTGAGTTCAAACTCCAGTATTGGCACCCCCCCAAAAAGAAGAAACCTATTCTCCAAAGATAAAGTTAATTTGTGATGTCTTAAGTTGATGTGGCAACTAAATAACAGCTGCTTTTTACCAACCACTGTGACAGTCCGCGAGCTCCTTGCGAGCAGTCGGTGCCTCAGTGAGCATCACCAGAGCCTGGTAATTGAACAGTTAAATTCTCTGAGAGACACAGGAATCTTTGGGTGAATTCTCTTCACCTGGGAAGAGCTGAATTCTTTTTTTTTCTTTTTTTTGTCAGTCGTGGGATTTGAACTCTGGGCCTGGGCGCTGTCCCTCAGCTCTTCAGCTCAAGGCGAGCGCTCTACCACTTGAGCTACAGCACCACTTCCAGTTTTCTGGTGGTTTATTGGAGATAAGAGTTTCACGGACTTTCCTGCCCCGGCTGGCTTTGAACCGCGATCCTCAGATCTCAGCCTCCTGAGTAGCTAGGATTACAGGCGTGAGCCACCAGCGCCCGGCTAAGAGCTGAGTTCTTATCATGTGTCAATGTTCTAGGTCCCGAGGGAGAGACGGTCATCCACGGCAAAGCCAGAGGTTGAACACCCAGAGCCAGAGCACAGCAAAAGGTAATGTGGACCACACCGCTGGAAACAGCGCCTCTGAAGAACGCGGCCTTTCTGGAAATAAAGCGGGAACTTTGTCTAAGTGAACAAACACTAGTGGGAGAGATGGGTAAATGGACTCCTAATGTCGGAAGTTCAGGTTTCACTTCTGATTGGTCTCTGGTTCTGAGTAGAGCTCAGTTTGTTAAGCAGAGTTGCCTTTTCTAGAAAGTGATCGAATTAAATTTCTGCTCCTCCAAAGGATGATTCTAGTGATAACCTGTTTGCTTCAAGACCCACTTAATAAGGAGGATGTGGCAGACAGAAAAAATAAAAAGGTATGGCATCACATGCCTAACATCCCTGCGCTCAGGAAGTAGAAGCAGGAGACAGTGGAGGTTGCGGTCAGCCTGGGTTCCATGGTCATTCTGGCTCAGAAAGATCAGGGGCTGCTGCCCTGCTTGCCGAGCATGGGCAAAGCCCGAGGAAAGTGCACACACGGTAAACGCCATGATGCTTGAATAGCTGCCTGAGTAAAACTCAGCAGATAAATTAAATGCTGTTCAAACTCCTCTCGAAGGTACTTTTAAAATAGGTCAGGAAATAGGGTTTGGAGGCAGTGTTCACTTGGTCAGGCGCTAGCCAGTGAGTGAAAGTGTATCCAGTCTGAATTCCAGTTTTGGAACCGAAAAAAAAAAAAACCCAACAACTTTCAGGATATTGTCTTAACTTTATGGCTACAAGTCATGAAAACTTTTTTTTTTTTTGTTTTGTTTTGTTCTGTTTTTGCCAGTCCTGGGGGCTTGTACTCAGTACATGAGCACTGACCCTGAGCTGCTTTTGCTCAAGGCTAGCACTCTACCACTTGAGCCACAGCACCACTTCCGGCTTTTTCTGTTGATGTGGTACTAAGGAATCGAACCCACGGCTTCATGCATGCTAGGCAAGCACTCTACCACTACGCCACATTCCCAGCCTCATGAAAACTTTTAAAAAATGTTTTTGAGACAGTCTCACAATGTACCCTAGTCTGGCCTTCCTATTTCAGCCTCCCGAATGCTGGGATTATAGATGTGTGCCTCCTACCTCAGCCTCCTGAGTGCTGGGATTACAGGTGTGTGCCCCCACACCTGGCAGAAAGCTTCTTTGAAGACACTTGTCAGGTTATACCATATGTTATGAACAGGTTATTGTTCTTGAAATATACAAACTTCACAGCTGCTTCTTTCCTTGCTTTTTCAGCCTGTAAGATTTAGGGGGCTTTAAAAACACATTAATATTACCCATTAGAAGTCATAGAATATTGCACAACGGTTAAGCTAAAATTTCATGGAAAATTATACTGGTACAAGATGATAATTAGCCTTTTTTTTTTTTTTTTTTTTGGTGCCAGTCCTGGGACTTAAACTCAGGGCCTGGATGCTGTCCCTTTGCTTTTTCACTCAAGGCTGGTGCTTTACCTCCTGAACCATAGCTCCACTTCCAGCCTTTTTGCTGGTTAATTAGAGATAAGAGTCTCCAGAGGTTTTTCTGCCCAGGCTGGCTTTGAACCTCAACTCTCAGATAGCAGCCTCCTGAGTGGCTGGAACCACCAGCACCTGGTGATAGTAGGCTGGCTTGCTGGCTTGCTTGCTTGCTTGCTTGCTTTTTCTTTCTTTTGTCTGTTGTGGGGCTTGAATTCTGGGCTTAAGGGCTATCCCTCAGCTCTTCAGCTCAAGGCAAGCGCTCTACTGCTTAAGCCACAGCACCACTTCCAGTGTTCTGGTGGTTAATTGGAGATAAGTCTCAGACTCTCCTGCCCAGGCTGGCTTTGAACCTTGATCCTCAGATCTCAGCCTCCTGAGTAGCTAGGACTACAGGCGTGAGCCACTAGCGCCCAGCAATACTAGGCTTTCTGTAGAAAACCAAAGAGCATGAGTGGTAGGAAAAGAAAAGGGTAAAGTCAGCCTCTCGTTGAGCCACTGTGTGCTGGCGTCGCTCCCTGCGCCTAGCATGGGCCCTGCCTTCCTCCCTCAGCTCCCTGAGAAGACAGACAAGTTACCCCATTTCACAGGTGAGGGTGAGCCCCGAGAGACGGAGCAGCTTCAGGCTGACACAGAACCTGAACCCAGGCAATCTGACTCCAGACGGTACTGTAGCCCCAACTCAGCAGTTTATGTGTGTGCCTTCAGGCTTACAGTAAATTATGGGCATTTGTATTAGGTTTATGGAAAGGAAAGGTGTGGTTTGAGTCCTCAGTATTTCAAGGAGATGTCACTTCGTGCTTTTGGGCTTTTGACTGTTAAGTTGATCTCCTCCAACTGCATTGCTTCAGTAAGGAACTCAAATTGTCAGGGGCAGGGAAGGGGTGGCTCTGGTGGAAGCTTCTGTGGCATTCCGGAGCCCTGGGTCTGATCCCCAGCACCCCCAAAAGATATCTCAGAAAACTGTCATCAGCATGGGATTTGAAAAGGCAGTTTCCTTCTTTTTCTTTCTTTCTTTCTTAAAGAAACAGCATCCCAAATGTGACTGAACAGCCCCTCATTGCTGCCGGAGAAAACAGAGTGCAGGTCTTGAAAAACGTGCCCTTTAACATCGTCCTTCCCCACGGCAACCAGCTGGGCGTCGAGAAGAGGGGCCATCTGACTGCGCCGGATACTACAGTCACGGTCTCCATAGCAACCATGCCTACACACTCCATCAAGACGGAAATCCAGCCACATGGCTTTGCTGTGGGAATCCCCCCCGCAGGGTATCACCCCGAGCCCACGGAGCGCGTGGTGGTGTTTGACCGGAATCTGACCGCAGACCAGTTCAGCTCGGGCGCTCAGCCTCCCAATGCTCAGCGGCGGACTCCAGACTCCACCTTCTCTGAGACCTTCAAGGAGGGCGTTCAGGAGGTACAGGAAACAAAAAAATCTTCCTAAGACTGTGCTGTGTTTGTCTAAGTATTGGGTTCCACCTTTTCCTTGTTATGTAAGCTTGAAACTCAGCCTGCAGCAAGTGGATTAGGAATAGAAGATTTGTTTTGAAGAGAAAAGGCCCATGGGTATAATTTGTAAGCTAAACCTATAAATCCAGAAATTATCATCCAGGCCACAGGGCTAATCTTCCCGGCAGCTGAGTTAACAATTATGATTTCATTGAAGTGATTTGCTGGCGAGAGAGCCAGAGGGAACCCCAGGCCTCATCTTGCATTGACCACAGACAGATTCGCACAGTCTGCTTGCAGCTGGTATTCTAGGACCCAGGCAAGCTCCCGGCAGCTCGTGTTCACACGAAGCATGGCTCATGTGTTGGCTGGGTGCTTCTTGCTTGGTGGAGCAGTTGGGGAGGGAGGGACGTACTTCATAGCGCATGGCGTGAAATTTACAAATTAGTTCCAAGGAGTTCTGAGGGCTCATGAGTAGGCACAGCACACTCAGGGAACGTTCGGGATTTAGGGCATTGGAACCAATCTTAGAGCCCTGGTGGGCGAAATGGCCTCTGAGGTGGAGCAGCTACTCCTGTGGCAGACCCATTGAGACTGGGCGCGAACTCAGCTACCAGACCTCATGCTGTTGGGGTTGTGGATTCTAGAGTCTGAACACTTGGGCTGTGTGGGAGTAGGAAAGGAGACAGTGGATCACAGGCATTTTGTGGGTGGATACATGGATCATCTTGTTTGTTTGTTTAGAAACAGAATCTATCTATATAGCCCAGGCTGGCCTTAAACTTGATCTATTCCTGCTTCAGTCTCCTGAGAGCTGGGGATTCAGGCATGTGCCACCATGCCTGGCTACAGGGAGAGTTTAATTTACCAAAGTGATATATAGAAGTGGATATTTTCCTTTTTGATAATTTTTAAAATGTAAACTTCTGATTTAGAATTTTCATTTTTTAATTAAAAAAATTTTTTTTGGTTGATCATGGGGCTTGAACTCTAGACCTGGGCGCTGTCTCTGAGCTTTTTTGTTCAAAGCTAGCACTACCACTTTGAGCCACAGCTCCATTTCCGGTTTTCTGGTGGTTAATGGGCGAAAAGAGTTGGACTTTCCTGCCTGGGCTAACTTTGAACCATGATCCTCAGATCTGTCTCCTACATAGCTAGGATTACTGCTGTGAGCCACCAGTGCCCAGCCATTAGAAGTTTTTTTTTTTTTTTTTTTTGGTCGGTCGTGGGGCTTAACTCTGGGCTTGGGTGCTGTCCCTCAGCTCTTCAGCTCAAGGTGAGCGCTCTACCCCTTGAGCCACAGCGCCACTTCTGGTTTTCTAGTGGTTTATTGGAGATAAGAGTCTCACAGATTTTCCTGCCCGGGCTGGCTTTGAATGGTGATCCTAAGATCTCAGCCTCCTGAAGCTAGGATTTCAGGCGTGAGCCACCGGTGCCCGGCTCCATTAGAATTTTTATTTTGAAACAAACATCAGAATGATAACGTGTGCCGGAAGCCACATATCATGTGCTTTGAGGACCTCAGCTGCTGGTAACTGATGATGGTTAAATGGTTGTGGCTTATTACATTAATATTTCAGGTTTTCTTCCCCTCGGACCTCAGTCTGCGGATGCCGGGCATGAACTCAGAGGACTATGTGTTTGACAGTGTTTCTGGGTAATCGTTGTCTTTTGACTTTTCAGTTTTCAGCACTTATGAGCTCTTCCCTTTTGCACCCGACACTATCGAATCCGAGGTGGCTTTGGCGGGCTTCTCCTTCCTCTCTCTCTGACTTTGGCCTGGTCTTGGGGAGAGGACACTTGCTGCAGCGCACTTGATTTTGGACCCTGATGGTTCCCAGCTTCCTCAGCTCCTGGTGTTGGTGCTTTCCCTTCCTTGGCTTCTTTCTGGGATACAGTGGGACGGAACACGTAAGGAGAGCTGCAGACTCCACTAGATCAAAGGGGCCCCCTCTGCTTCAAAGCATAGCATTAGGTGAGAATGCAGGAGAAACATCAAGTGAGCCAACCCTGCCCACTTGGGTCCTGCAGAAGAAGAGCTGAAGCGAGATCCAGATGTAGTGAGAGCAGCGGGAAGGTTCATTAGGGAAAGAATACACTGCCAGTCCCGACAGTGGCTCACTGCTAGGGTGAAAGTGGCATTTTTATATTTGGTGCTGAACTTTGGCTTGAACTCGGGGCCTTATATGCTCATTCAGTTTTGTTACTCACAGCTGACATCTCTACTACTTGAACTCATCTTCACTTCTAGTTTTCTGCTGGTTATGTGGAGATGTGAGTCTCAGCTTTGTCTGCCTGGGCTGGCTTTGACTATGATCCTCAGATCTCAGACTCCTGAGCAACTAAGATTACAGGCGTGAGTCACTAGAGCCGGCCTTAAGTGGCTTTTAAAAATTGGCCCTGTTAGTGTTAAAATAAATAGCCCTGACAGCTCATTAGCTTCATAAAACTGTAGCCCATTCTGGGAGGGAGTGTATTTTCCAAATTCTTTAGGAATACTTACAAAGACCTTCGGAGTTTTTTTTTTTTTTGTATGTCTGTTTTTAATCGAGAATCTCATTTTAGATGTGTTTTTTTAAACATGTTCTATATCATAATTTTTAAAAGTGTTGTGAGCCTTGCACCTGTAATCCTAGCTACTCAAGAGGCTGAGATCTGAGGATCAAGGTTCAAAGCCAGCCCAGGCAGGAGAGACTGTGAGACTCTTATCTCCAGTTAACCACTGAAGACTGGAAGAGGTGCTGTGGCTCAAGTGGTAGAGTGCTCACCTTGAGCTAGAGAGCTGAGGGACAGTGCCCAAGCTCAGAGTTCAAACTCCAAAACCAACCAAAAATAAAGGATTGTGAGGTTTAGGATTTCCTCTACATATCTGCCCCAGGCTGCATAGGTCACAACCTCAGATACTTGTAGAGTCTGGGGTGGGGTTGGCAACCTTTTCACATGACAGGTTCTCTAGTACACAGTTTAGGTTTTGTGGTCTTTATGGCCTTTTATCAACTCTGTGATTACCCGTCTCTGCCGTCATAATGTAGTAGAAGCCACGAGTAATGCATAAGTAGATGGTGTGGCTGTATTCTAATAAAACTTTATTTATAAAGATCAATGTTGGGTTTGGAATGTAACTTAGTGGTAGAGTGCTTGCCTAGCATGCATGAAGCCTAGGGTTTGATTCCTCAGTACCATATAAACAGAAAAGTCTGGAAGTGGCCCTATGGCTCAAGTGGTAGAAGAAGCCCAGGGACAGTGCCCGAGCCCTGAATTTAAGCCTCAGGACTGGAGGAAAAAAAAAAAAAAAGATCAGTGTCATTTGCTGACTTCTTGCCTGGGAGGTTCTTCAGGGACATGTATGAGTGAGGATGTCAGGTAATGGGAGCGTCAGAGGTGTTGAAATCTCAAGCAGAAAGGGCAAAAGAGTAATGGGCATGCCAAATTGGATTTAGTGCGTGGCTTCCTGCCTCCTCCTGCAACCTTTGTCAATAAGGAGCAGGTTGGCAGTGTGTCTTAGGAGATCCTGCCCTCTTCATTTCCAGACAGCCCGAGTCTCCCAACATCTCATTGTAACGTCACATCCTAAGATTTCTTGTCAGCGTTCCATTATACCCTGTCTGAGGGATTGGAGAATTGCTGGTGCTGGTGTTCTAAGATTCTATTTAACCTGTAAGAAGGTAGCGGGTTCTCATTCTATGGTATAGTCAGTTCTGTGCTTGCTGCTGGTCTGTTTTCTCAGTACATCCCACACTGAAGCATTTCACCACTGTACTAAAATACCAGAAGCTTCCAAAAGACTGGATTAGAGCTGTGTGGCATTTTGTCCTGCAGGAACAATTTTGAGTATACCTTAGAAGCATCCAAGTCGCTGCGGCAGAAGCCGGGAGACAGCACGATGACGTACCTCAACAAAGGCCAGTTCTACCCCGTCACCTTGAAGGAGGTGAGCAGCAACGAAGGGATCCACCACCCCATCAGCAAAGTTCGAGTAAGTTCTGCCCCATCTCCTGTTCTCCAGGTCCCGCTTCTGCTGTCTCCAGGTCCTAATCTCTCCAGGCCTGAAGCAGCTCCAATTGAAAACCTCCAAGTGTAAGATCTGAACGCAGTGGTGCTTCTCGTTCGCAGAGCGTGATCATGGTGGTTTTTGCAGAAGACAAGAGCAGAGAGGATCAGCTACGGCACTGGAAGTACTGGCACTCTCGCCAGCACACTGCTAAACAAAGGTGCATTGACATAGGTAAGGTGCCCATGCCCGCACCCACTCTCGTTCTCAGAGGAGCCCGCGCCCCAGCCTTTGCAGTCCAGTTATTTTTGGCAGCGGTCAGCTTCCTGCCGAAAGCAGTTGAATTTTTATGCCAGCCACTGATCTCTTCCAGAAACTGCCCTGGGCCTCCTGGAATCCGTGCTGTGCCCTTGCTTCCTCCCCGAGGCCTTGCCCCAGCACTAGCTTTCCATGTGGCACCAGGGCTGGAGCCTCAGCCAGCCAGCATAGGAGCACCTCGTTTGGTTGGTTTTTTGGTGTGTGTGTGCGTGCGAGCCTTAGCCAGCCAGCATAGGAGCACCTCGTTTGGTTGGTTTTTTGGTGTGTGTGTGTGTGTGCGCCCCTGCGTGATGGCTTGAAATCAGGGCCTGGGCACTGTTTTTTGCTCAGGGTTGGTGCTCTACCTTTTGAGCCACTTCGGCCTTTTAGTGGTTACTTGAGGTAAAGAGTCTCACTAACTTTCCTGCCCAGGCTGGCTTTGAACTGAGATCCTCAGATTTCAGCCTCCTGGGAAGCCAGGATTACAGGCGTGAGTCCCCCAGAACTCAGCAAAGAAGCACCTGCTTTCAATCTGCATTGTTTTGGTTTTTTTTTTTTTTTAAATCATTGTTATCATTAAGGTGATATACACAGGGGTTACAGTTTATAAATCAGGTAAAGAGTACATTTCTTTTTGGACAATGTTTTCCCTTCCCTCACTCTCTCCCAGTTTTTCCCTCCCGTCTCCCCACGAGTTGTCTAGTTCATTTTCCACATACTGTCTAGTGAGTGCCGCTGCTGCATGTGCTCACCCTTGTCCCTCCGTTTCTGTGCATTTGTTTTTTGCTTGTTTTGTTTTTCCCTCTTTGGGGTGTTCATGGTGGAACCCAGCACTTCGCACCTGCAGGCGAACACTCTGCCTCTGAGCTCTACTCTCAGCCTGGCGTGTGCATTTTTGGGGGGCAATGTCTTCATTAGGAGATGGCTGATCATCATTTGGAGATAGTGATAAGGAGGAGAAAAGCCCAAATAAGTAAAAGGAAATTCTACTGCCCTGCAGTGCCTGTCTTTCCTCATTCCACGTCCAGCCGTGCTGCCTGCTCATCTCGTGTAAATAACCAGTGGGCAGCAGCACAAAGCACATCCACGCTTCCTAAAGCTGGTCTTGCATGGGTACCGTGTCCACACAAAGCCGTTGCCTCCATCACTAGTGGCCACTGATCCTAGCATTGCTTTCCCTTTTCCTTCATGTCTTTTCAGAAGACTTGAAGAACTGGATTCTAATCCTTGCCTAATTTTGTGACCTTGAGATCATTACTCAAACGTTATAGATCTACATTTCCTAATTTTTACATAATAAAACTGGATCGCATATATCTAAGATTGTCTCTATTGTCTCTGGGTCTTTCGTTCATCTTTTTTCTTTTCTTTTTGACAAGGGCTCACTCTGTAGCCCAAGGTGGCCTACAGACTGGCCTCCAGCTCGCTGTTCTCCAGCCTTAGCCTTCCAGACATGCTCCGTCACACCCAACGCTCTTCGTTTTTTTCCTCTCTCAACCCCATGAAATACTAATTTAGATTATCTAGAGGGGATAATGTAGAAAGCTTGATGCTGGAGCTGCTGTGATCTCATGTTGAAGAATGATGACTGTTTCTCTTGCTCATTACTTCACACAGCTGACTATAAAGAAAGCTTCAATACCATCAGTAATATCGAGGAGATTGCTTACAATGCCATTTCCTTCACCTGGGACATTAACGATGAAGCAAAGGTATGTCATAAGGTCTGGGGGTTCGTTTGAGAAATGAGGGGGGTTCAGTGGTCTTTCAGCTGATCTGTTGCAGCTTTATTCGTAGAGATTATGAAACGATCTTCCTTTTGATCTTTCCTCAAAAAAAAAAAAAGGCGTTTATTTGACCTCCTCCAAGCAGTCTGCACATGTGCAGCCGCTGCTCTTTTCTGGCCCAAGTCCAGCCCTCACTCTGTTCCCTCACTTCCTGTGCCCGGACCCTGCTCTGGGGGACATGAGGGCCAGTGCTCCTCAAGCTGACAGAGTTCCATGGAGAAAGGCTTGGAAATACAAGCGATGCGTGATACAATTCTCTCTCATAGGATCGCCATGTAAATATGACCCACTGTTAAGATTCTTCTGTCTTGAGCTTTTATAATTGAAAATTGCCTCTGATTCACATATCAGTGGGATAATCCATTCCTTCCTTCCTCTTACCTTCCTTTTTGGTTGTTGTGCTGGTACTGGGGCTTGACCTCTGGGTTTTAAGTTCTTATTTATTTTTTGTTTGTCATTTTTGTTTGTTTTGCTCACAGCCAGTAATGCACTATCACTTGAGTCATACCTCTCCCTTATCTTTTTGCTGGTTTAGAGTCTCTTGGGTTTGTCTTCCTGAGCTGGCTTCAGACTTCCATTCTCAGATCCCAGCTTCCTGAAAGGATGGGTATGATTCTTTTAAGGATTACAGATGTGAGCCACTGCTGCCCCGCTTGTGAGAAAAGGGCTTGCCTGGGCTGGCCTTGAGCTCACAATCCTCTCGCCTCAGCCTCCCAGTTGCTAGGGTTAACATATGTGCTGGGATTATAGGTATAGCTTATTAAGATAATTCTTTTCCTTTTAGAGTACTGGGCTGGGATTTGAACTCAGGTTTTCATGCTTGCTAGACAGATGCTTTCCTCCATGTTTCCAGCCCTTGTTTGGGTCACCCTAATGGGAATTTTTGGTATCCTTGAAGAGAAATGAGGACTTCTTAAGTAATTTCTACCCTTTCCACTGCGTTCTTCCTCTTTTAGAACAATCCTCTGCTAAATTATTAGAGTTCTAGTATTTCTCTGTGTACATTGCTTTAAAATTGGGAGCTCAAGAAATACGGTAGAAGCATGTTAGTTTATTTGATGGTACTGGAGTTTGAACTCATGGCCTTGTATTTGCTATACAGGTGTTTTACCACTTGAGCTATGCCCTTCCCCCCTGGCCTGTTTTGCTTCAGCTATTTTTCAGATAGTGTCTTTAAGCTTTTTTCTAGGACCAGTCTCAGACTGCAGCACTCTTATCTTCATCTCCTGTATAACTGGGAACACAGGTTTGCACTACCATGTCTGACTTGTTTGTTAAGATGAGATCTTGCTATCTTTCTGCCCAGGCTAGCCTCAAACTGCAATCCTCTTATCTCTGCCTCCTGGGTAACTGCACCTAGCCTAAACATGTTATTTTTAGACACTTGTTAAAATAAGATTAATCCCTGGTTTTGGTTAAATACCTTTCTCTCAAGGACCTGCTAGAAATTCTGATCATCTTTCTGCTCTTTTTCAGCCTTTCAATTCTTTCTTCTATTTATTTATTCAAGAATTTCAGTAATTTATGGGATATGCTGTTCCATAAAGGTTTTAATGTATGTTGGCCTAAGATTGCTCTTTGTGTGCCAGTCCTGGGGCTTTAACTCAGGGCTTGGGTGCTGTCCCTGAGCTTTTGTGTTCAAGACTGCTGTGCTATTCACTTGAGCCACAGGTCCATTTCTGACTTTTTGGTGGGTAATTGGAGGTAAGAGTCTCATAGACTTTCTGGCCCAGGCTGGCTTCAAACCTAGATCCTCAGTTCTCAGCCTCCTGAAGCTAGGATTAGAGACTTGAGCCACCAGTGCCTCTGCCCCAAGATTGCTTTTAAATGTCAAAAGCCAGGGGTCTTGAGAGACATATTAATTAATTTTGTATCCTAATTGCTTTCCTGTCTTGCTGTGGTAGTTGTCTCTGAGGAAGAGGGTGTCTAGCTGTAGGAGAAACTAGTTGCAAGGAGCTTAGGGCATTCAATACATGGAGTTTTTCCTACTCACCCACTTGTGAACAACTGGCAGACTGCTGCTGCTCCCAGAGATTGAGCTTGATTCAATACTCAGTTCACTGCAGGCGGGGCTATGAGGGAGACAAGTAAGCTTGCCATTTCTCCCCCCCCCCCCTTTTTTTTTTGTCAGTCATGGGCCTTGAACTCTGGGCCCCGGCGCTGTCCCTCAGCTCTTCAGCTCATGGCAAGCACTCTATCACTTGAGCTACAGCGCCACTTCCAGTTTTCAAGTGGTTTATTGGGGATAAGAGTCTCATGGACTTTCCTGCCCCGGCTGGCTTTGAACCATGATCCTCAGATCTCAGCCTCCTGAGTAGCTAGGATTACAGGTGTGAGCCACCGGTGCCCGGCAGCTTGCCAATTCTTAAAGTTGCTGTCAGTTATTTTGAAATTATGTTGTGACAAGACTCAGAGCATGCTATGAAGAGGGGCTGCGCACTCTGGGTACTTATTAACCACCGACGACTCATAGGAAATTGTGTAGCTGGAAGAACGTATTAGGTTCTGAGTTCACTTTTCTGTCCCTATTTGTGACTTGGGTCAGCCCCTTGATTCCCTGGCTCCGTTTTTGACCCCTTGCAGCCCTAGAAAATCAAAAGGCTGCCGGACATTGGTAGCTCATGCCTGTAATCCTGTCTATTCACAAGGCTGAGATCTGAGGATGGAGGTTTGAAGCCAGCTAGGGCAGGTAAGTCCGTGAAATTCTTTACCCTCTTAAACCACCGAAAAGCCACAAGTGGAGCTGTGGCTCAAAGTGGTAGAGTGCTGCTAGCCTTGAGTAGTAAAGCTCAGGGATAGCAGCCAGGTCCTGAGTTCAAGCCCCAGGGCCAGCACAAAAAAAAGGAAGGAAGGAAGGAAGGAACGAAGGAAGGAAGGAGAAAGAAAGAAAGAAAATGAACAGGCTGAGGCGGCCAGCTTTTCTCTGTTGGGTGTGGCCAGGATTAATAAGCACTTGTGAGCGCGCTGGAGCTCCGTGCTGGGAGGGCTGTCACCGGGGAGGGCTGTCACCGGGCAGGGTGCTTTGTTTGCTTGATGTGTCACTCTGTGGGGTGGGAGGAATGAAAGCTGAGGTGACAGGTAGGGACAGTGGCTTGTTTACTCGGCTTACTCCTACCAAGAAGTGCCGCCCCAGGAGGCGGGTCTCCCGGCCTGTGAGTCCTGCTAACCAATGGGAGCGTGGGCTCCTTTGCTCCAGTCCCTTCACTCTTGCCAGTTTTTAGCTCTCGTCCGCTCGGAAGGGTGGTGTGCTGGTCCTTGATGAGGGAGCTCCCTTTTGAAGCTGATAATCAGGCATCAGCGTCACTGAGTATTGGAGTTTACTATCTACCATTTTTGCTTTCCCTGGCTTAGTTGATGTTTTTCTTTTTATACTTAATTAATGCCTCAAGGTGTAGCCATGATAAGTGGATGTGTGTGCAGAATCTTTATATAGTTGGGGGAACGACTTTTTCCTGAAAAGGGAATGAATGTCTGCGTCATTAAATGCCCATCTTGTTCTTGTTCTTTTTCTTTTCTTTTCTTTCTTTTTTTTTTTTTTTGCTGGTACCTGGGTTTCATTTGTTGGCTCATCTAATGCTCTACTACTTGGGCCATGCCTCTAGCCCAGTTTTTTTAAATATGATTTTATTGTTAAGCTGGGCGCCGGTGGCTCATGCCTGTAATCCTAGCTACTCAGGGGGCTGAGATCTGAGGATTGAGGTTCAAAGCCAGCCTAGGCAGGAAAGTCTGTGAGACTCTTATCTCCAATAAATCCACTAGAAAACCGGAAGTGGCGCTGTGGGTCAAGCGGTAGAGCGCTCACCTTGAGCTGAAGAGCTGAGGGACAGCACCCAGGCCCAGAGTTCCAGCCCCACGACCAACCAAAAAAAAATGAATTATTGTTATAATTAAGGTGTCATACAAAGGGGTTACCATTTCGCAATTCAAATAATGAGTGTATATCTTTTTTTAAAAAAAATATTTAGTTTCTGTGATATCAAGGAACTCGAACCCAGGCCTCATTCATGCTGGGCAAGCACTCCATCGCTAAGCCGCATTCCCAGCCCTGAGTGCCTTTCTTCTTGGGAAGTGTCACCCTTCCTGCATTTTCTCTGTTTCCCCTCCCATTCCTGCCCACAAGTTGCATAGTTCATTTTCCTCATAGTGTCTACTGAGGACCACGCCCGGATTTGTTTATCCTCCTCCCTTTCTTCACTCCCTTCCCCTCCAACCCCCCAAAAAAAGCAGAAAAAGAAAAAACACCATTACCACCAACAACATAAATAACCCATGTTTCCATTTCCTGGAATTTGTTTCAATAAATAATATTTTACACGTTCAGGAGAGTTACGGCTTTGGGCTCCTCCGCTGCTGGAATGTTCCTTTGGTCTTTTTGTGTGTAAATGCCTAGAGGCCTCCTGTCCAATTATATTTTAGATCTAGCTTCTGCATATAAGAGAATACATGTGTCGTGTGTCTCTGAGCTTGGCTTACCTCACCTAACATGATTTGTTCTAGGTCCATCCAGTTCCCTGTAATTGACATGATCTTATTCTTTCTAATGGATGAGCAAAATTCCATTGTGTATATGTACCACATTTTTGGACCTACTGGTCTACTGTTAGCCCAGTCTTAGGGACTTTTCTGCCAGACTGGCTTTGAACCTGATCCTCTGGGTCTCAGCTTCTGAGTTGCCGGGATGCTGGGCATGAGATACTCGCTCTTGTTCTCATTTAGGATTTGTGGTTGGGTGTGTGTGGAGGGGTGGTTCTGGGTAAAACAAGCAAACAGGTCTCCATGCTAGGCAGGTGCTCTACCTCTAAGTTATACTCTAGCCAGGGAGTATTGATTCTTGATTCAGCTCTTTCCACAGACATAAGGTTTTGGGGAAGTTATGTGATATCCCTTTCTCCCATCCCCATTTTTTGAAAAAGTATTGGTATTTT